GCAGAATTACACAGACACACACACACGTAGGAACGGGGCTCAAGCACACGACCGAAATCTCTACGACCCTCATGTATGCGAGACTGTTTCGAGTCAGAAATGGGTGCAGGATGGTACAGGGCAGAAACTTGCTAAAGCAACGAGATTCGGCATGAGTCCGATGCTCCTGGAGGCCTCGAGACTGGAGAATCTAGGAAAATTCAATGATTGCGAGACCAGCCTTCGGACAGCCCAAGATTTGGCGCTGGAGACACGGAGTCCGGAGGAAGTGAGTCAGCGGAGGTCTCCTGCACGCAATCAGATTCGAAACCATTTACCAGCTTCAGCTCTCTAAGCATTCCGCCTCGGATTTGCTCGAAAGTCATGCAACAATCCCTCTTCCACTTTGAGTTTGGAGCAACCCTAAAACGACAGATTCTGCTTGGGAGGCCGAGCCCAAGCCGCCCTTGGGCGCCCCTGCGGCTGTAACGCCCAAGCGCCCCCGAAGCTCCAAGAGTTTGGGATCCAAGGCAAACTGGGCAAAAATGGACAAACCAAGTTTGTCGAACCAGCCTTCTCTCTCACCTTCAAGAGCGCGGCACCGATGGCATCATGTGCTGATTTTGCCTGCAATCCACGCGCAGGACAGGATATCAGTGCGAAAGGAACAACAGTTTGCAGCCTGCACTGTCTGAACCTGGGAGGGGGCCACTGCATAACCGCTGACTTCCAGTGTGCTCATAACCTCCGTTGCATTGAGCTGCTGGCCCGCGATTTGACAGCTGATAGCTTCTGCTTCAGCTCGTCAAGCCCAACCTCGGCCAGGCCCCTTGACTTTTGTCCAATCTAAAGGTCCCTCTATCCTTCTATCAGAATATCGCAGCTACGACCAATCCAATCGTTCATCTAGTCTACACCTCAACACCCTCATACACTAGTCACGGCCTATAACAAAGGATCCCACGCTTCCGGTACAGGGTTACACTGAAAATATCTATGATGTCTAGTCGTCTTCTTGCTCACCCAGAAAACACAAGCACAATGCATCCACTGTACCTCCTCAGCCTACATGCACAAATCGCACATGGATGCTGATGCCGCATGTACATGTGTACCCAGCTCTTCAGCATCTGGCGGACTCACGCGACTCGCCAGCAGCGTGCCTTTCCTAGCCGTGGCACACTCATGCTTCCAAGAAACGCCGCACAAAAACAGCATAAAGCCTCTGCAAGCTTGATTTGTCGTTCCAGCAGCTGTACCTGACCACGGAAGGAGCATACCAGTCCAGCAAGTTGCAACCTTTGCTATTTGCGGCCACCAGAGAACCCTGAACATGTAGCAGAAACAAGCATGCTGTCGGACCATCTCAGACCATCCGGCCTCCAGCACGTCCAAAGCATCCATGGCTACCGCACTTTGTGCGAGCTGTCTCCATCGCCCGCATGCATGATTGGAAACTACGACATCGACTTGCCAGAAGTCGCTTTTGCTGCGATGTCTAAGATCGAATGGAAAGTCCTGTTGTGGCTTTCCATGAGCGGATCAGAAGCAGAGTGGGCAAGGTGGCTTCTGACAATCACCCGAGAAGCATGCATGATCAATAGCAGCTCTGTGAGCCCATCAGTCCGGGTGTCACAGAAACCAATTACACTCAAACTGAGGGTGGTTTACCTGCACTGTCCCTGTCGCAGGCTGCAGCATTTTAGACCAACGCTTGCCGGAGGCAGGTAGACGAAGCTTCTTGCCACTGCGACTGTACAGCTCGCAATCTGGCACATGGCTAGCCTCTTGATCTGATTTGGCACCTCACGCGCCCAAGAGGGCCCGAGCATTGAGATCTGTCACTACAGGTTCTTTCACGCAATCGGAGAGGCAGCCGAATTCGTCCACAAAGCTGAGCAGTTTCGCTTTGTGAGGACGTTAGCAATTTGTCGGTGGAAGATTGCTTCACGCGCAAGCCTTGGCACCTAACACGGGCCTGCCAACCTGGCAATGCCTGACATACAGTGTTGTTCACTGCTTTGTTCGGTTCCGCTTCGAGGTCGGCGTGACACGACCGCTGAGACCGCTTCACCGTCTGGCCTGGTCACGCATCGATCCAGGAAGAGGCACAGGAACGCAAATCCTCAGCGCGTTGTTCGAAGCCCTTTCAAGCCGGCACGGACCTCTGTACATGCTTGTGTGACATGTTGCTCGTCCGCGGCCTGCCACAGCCTGAGACCCTGCTGACTGCATTGCTGTACACTGTTCAAGCTCAGAGCTGGGCAGGACCGTATGTTCACCAGCAACAGATTGCCAGCCACCTCAAGAAATGATCTATAGACACGTGTCTGGCTACTTGTGTGCACATCTCTTGTGCGAGCCTTCGCTTCCTTTATTGATATAGAGAGGCCGCCCTCGATTTCTCGAAGCGATCGCGTGGGAAACTGGCACAAGCTTCACGCACATCATCAAAGGCGGAGAGCACCCAGGCTTGCCAGCACCACTAGCCTGCGTTGCCAAGTCCACCTTTTCAGTCGGCTTGTCTGTCAAAGCGGCTGCGACGACGAACTTAGTGCGAGCTGTTCGTGCCAGTGCCACCCTTCATGATTCCACGTCTGCTCACTCGGAATGCTGAGATGTCCACCATCTGTTCGAGATCATCGTCGGGCCGGAATCGTCTAGCAACTCGCTGACCCGAAGGTAGACGAAGAGAGACCTGCCGGAAGTTGAGCAGAAATACAACCGCCCAAACATGTCCTGCCTATTACTCGCGTTGGAATCCCCCGCCGGCAGCCAACGCGCTGGGATTGATTCGTACCCCGTGAAAAGCAGAAGCATCAGCATGGGAAGGCCAAAGAGCCCATGGAGTCAGCATCATGAGTCGTGAGCATCGGGTTCAGAACACCAAGGCGGCAACGTCGGAAAGACCAGGCCAGGCCCCAACAAGGTTTCAACGCTCATGACGCCGGTCTTCTGGGAAAAACTAGCAGAGGGGATGCGCAAACAGGGCTGGGTCGAACGGATTGGCATCATGTTGCTCATTGGATATACTCGGATGGGGCAACTGCGTGGGAACTGCAGCCCGTGGATTCGGGCAGAGTGCTGTGCTGCCGGAGCGATGCTTGTGTTGAACGATGCCGGTGATGCGAAATGGAGCTTACGATGCGGGCTTCCTGCAGTTTCTGTGTCTTTGTCAGGACAGGACGTGCATGATGCCTCCACTTGGATGGGGACAGGGATGTCAGTCACCGGGCACAGGAGGATGGAGCCTTCATTGGTTGCCAACATCGAGCTCCAGCTCCTAAATGCCCCAAATGATGCTTATGGGCGCTCTTCTCTCGCTCTTGGAAAGCTGCGCAGTGCTTTTTCTACACTGCACACGAGGCTGACATCACACCTGTAAGCACGTCTCAAGGTTCGAGCGCCCACGAGCTCCCTATGATGCTTATCCCGTGGACAACAAATTCAACCAAACGTGTCGCCGACTTTTGCACGAACTTCGTTTTGCTCGGTCGTGTGTAGTTTTCAGTTTTCCCCGATCGGCAAGTTGGAACCAAAATTGCTTGATAGAAGGATGTTCATTAATCCTACAGCTTGCGCTGAGGGTTTGACGGGCTACCACTCCCCACCCCTCTCCCAACACGAGGCATTTACGCGGACGTTGTTAGCTATCGGTTCTGTGGTCACAACGTCCCGTTGTGTTTGATGGCAGTGGGAGGAACCGACAGCCAAGCTTGGAAATTGCAATGATGCGAGAAACGAAGAAATATAAGCTTTCGAGATGGACAGCACGTGGAATTGCAACAAGGCAGCGGATGCATGAACCTCCAGTATCCATGACGCTAAACATCCTACATGATCCCTACATGCATAGCCAAGAGTGACAGGCTGCCTTGAGATGCTCAACACCCTCAGCCGGCTCTTCTGGCAGGACCGGCACAGGCTCCTTTTGCGACCATGGCATGGCTGCCTGATTCTATGGAGCTGCTACTGACGGAGAGCGAGCACTGACCTCCTTGGCTTCCACCGCCTCCACCTGCTCACATAGTGCCGAATCTCCAAAAAAGGTACCGATGCACTCAGAGCGCACTGAATCACTGAAGGCCTCCATGTCATCCAAGCCATGGAGGCGAATCTGGGAAGGATCGGGAGGTGATGCCTGGCCAGAACATCCGACGCTGCAGTCAGGTGGCCAACCGTGGCGAGCCTGCCTTCGGATGCATGACAGGACTTGCTGTTGGTGACATGGATGGCGGTGACCTGCCGAAACGATGTGCTAGGAGACCAACTGTACACAAGCACAAACACTTCGCGGCTAAGATGACAACCTGGACATGGAAAATTGGTCCAAGAACCCGAACAAATACCTGGTGCATCCACCATTCCAAGCATCACATGGGAAAGCAAAGACATCGTTTGCAAGGTTGTCGGGGGCACTCCGCTGCGGCATGGGATTCGACCCATTTGCGGCCATCCCAGTTCTTCGGCAGAGAACTTCCGACTGTCTAGCAAACGGTGCAATGTTGCGGGCAAGGGCCCGCAACACACTTACCAAGCCTTTTCACTCATACACCACACTGTATCCCAACCCGCATGTAGGTGCAGCCGTGACTAGCATGCCAGCTTCTTCCAAAACGAAAACAATCTTGCCCCGTGCTCCTTGACACGTCTGCCCGTGCGAGGGTCAATGACACAGATGTGCGGCAGCTGGTGCCTGCCACCAAAACTCGCGACTTCAGCAGATGACGACTCGCCGCTTCCACTGACCCGCACGAGTGATAGTGGCAGAACTGGTCACCCTCAGCCGATTTGTCATCCCGCTGCCTTGCGTTTGCGAGGATCTGCTTCTGCTGGCCAATTACTCGTAAACTTTCTTCAGCAGGATTCTCAGAGTCGTACCAAAACAGGAAGGAACCCGTGATGATGTCTTTGATAGTGTCATCGCTCCACACCTACAGCTGCAAAGCAGTGTGCAGCTGTGTGGCTCAAGGCTGCCAGCATATTGTTAAAGAGGGGCGGCCGCATGGGAAATGCCGTTGGTGTTGCTGCTTCATATCATCATCTGCTATCGCGAGAGCTGTGATGGCTGTGTTTACACGAACCAAAGCTGTTACAAAGTTGCCATGCTGCCCCCAAGTACTGGCGGGATTCACAACATTTATGGCAAAAATCCACGCGGCTACGGCGCCCACAGACTGCTGTCCAACGTGTTGCAGTTTACAACGGATCGCACTTACCGGAGGATCCGAGGACAAATTCGGACAATTCGTCAAAGCACCTCACACTCAGCGCCGCGATTCACGGCGTCTCCGGCTATAGCCCTGCCCCATGCATTGCAAGATACTCATCTAAGCACTGTAGGTTAAAAGAGTGATGAAGAGGCAACCTCACAAAGGCCTCAGGGCCTACCTCTCGAAGACCTCACATCATGCCATTCAACCTCACGACGACCTAACGGACAACCTCGCATCCACATCAATATCAACGTCATCATCATCATCATCATCATCATCATCATCATCATCATGGTTGTCATCATCCGCAGCATCATTATCAGCGTCCTCATCATACCATGCCACCAAAAACCTTCGCCTCGCTTTCGGGAACAAGAACAAATATTGACTGTTGTGTTTTGAGCCAGGCAAAGTCAAGAAAATTCTGACAACCTCTGAGGAAGCGTGCATCCCGGTTCAGCGTGTGCGAGGCAAACACCTCTGCCTGCTGGATATTGACCTCAGAAACAAAGGCTTGACATCATGCATGTGCACTGAGCTTAACATTCTGTTGCTTACAAGCCTTAGCCTTCGTCATCCGTACTGCGCCACCCTTCTACACACAGTGTTCTCTTTTTCAACTCAGCCAAAGGGAATGCAGGCAAGCCCCCCCCCTCCTGCGTCCTGGTTTTCTCCCTCTGTCTTTCTCTCTCTCTCTCTCTCTCTGTCTCTCTCTCGCTCTCTGTCTCTCTCTCTCTCTCTCTACAGGGCGTGGCGGAAGCAACTGTCCAACTGCAACCGCCGTGCGAGTTCGCACATCCGCAGTTCGTTGGCGGGCAAGGGCTTCCACGACGAACTCTTCCACAGAGGTTTCGCTGTACGGGACCAGCCACAAGGGCAAGGCGACGATTCCCCCAGAAGCACAAAGTAAGGACAATTTAGGTGACATTGCAAGCGGTAACTGGGGAACTCTCTAGGAAAGTAAGATGCAGGACCTGTGGAAACAGCCGGCATGAAACACGACGACTGGACCAAGGTAAACACTGTCCTAATGCCTCGCAGTTCCCCGCAAAACCTTTCGAGCGCGCCTCACTTCACAGTTCCTGTCGTCGGCTGGTCCGCATACACGCTTGGACATGTTGCACAGCCCTCCATCCGGGGCTTGGCTTCAGGTTTGGCGGCCTCGGCCGCTGGGTTGCCGAGCTTGAGGTAGCTCGGTCAAAAGGGCGTCCCAACTCCCCCACGGCCAGTGGGCATCCCTGGTTGCCGTGGAAGGCGCGGTGTCGGTTTCCTGCGGGAGCCGGGTAGCGTCGCGCCCGCCATGGTCACTGTCAGCTTCACAGCTGCTGCTTCCCCAATTAATTTCTGCTGCCAAGTCGTATACGTTGGCTCCACTTGGTCGTGGTTTGGTGGTGGCTTCTTTGGTTCCCCTGCGTGTGTGCTCTGAGCGGCTTGGTGTGTTGCTGTCCTCGGCGTGGTTCGCTGGCTCCCTCTCTTCGCGGTGCTCCTTCGGTTGCTTGTGCTTCTGTCGGTCCTTCTTGCCGTGCTTTTTCGCTGGAGCAGAGAGGACGTTGAAAACGATTGAGCCCCAGAACACTCAGCAAGAGTGCAGGTGATATGTGCATAATTTGCGACACTGTGCCTGTGATCGGCAAGCATCAAACAACGAGTTGGCTAAAAAGAGTCTCCGAATTTCCAGGATTTGGTATTGTTGGCTTCGAAATTATTCTCGTACATCTAGCCCACTCGACGGTGGAAGATGAAAACTGGGTCCCAAACCAGCACCCACTTGCCCTCACCTTTGGCCTAGGCATAAAGCTGGCAAGTGCGCGTCTCGCGCGACACACACACACACACAAATCCCCATGCACTCAAGACAGGCCTTCTCGATTGTTTCGTAGTAGCTGCTCCCCTGCCCATCTTTGCGATGAACTCGCACTAGCCCGCAAACAATGTGCTTCAAGTCAAGCTGCTTCGTTGTACTCCGGGGGCGCGAAAAGCTTGTTGATAGCCTGCAGATCGTGAAGCACTCACAAAGTGCCAGGTCGAGGCAACTAGGTGGCGGCAAAAAATAACAAGGCCCAAGCAGGATTGAACATGGTTGAGCTGCCTCTTAAGCTTGCCAAACAACCCCAACTGGTTGAACGAACGTCCGCCAACAGCTGCTTGTGCATCAGTACCCTCACCTGTTCGGGGTTGGTGCGGTAAAATCCCAGTTTGAAAGGCACTAGTCATTAGTCCGTTTCCAATCGTCAGAAAGTTCGAGCAGTGGAAGCAGAAGCATGAACTTTGTTGTCCGATGTCAAGCACGTATTGCTCGCGAACATTTTTGGTTTTACAGCTGGTGCGGATATCTGCAGCTGCTGTACTCCGCGTCCGGTATTGTGGATTCTGCTTCCGGTCCGGCAGCCGTAGCGGACTAGGGCGAATACCGTGCGCGCGCACTTCTGCTTCTGCTGTGCTACTGCATGTTGGCGATGGGAAACAGACTAGTGCCTAGTGCCTTTCAAACGCTTCCGAGCTTTGATGGGATGTTCATGACTAGGGCCAGGCACGCAACGGACCCGCTGAAGCCTTGGCTCAAGCAGGACTGCTTGCGCTTCCGCTGTTTTGATTGCCTGCCGCTTCCCCTGTCTCCGCCAACTCTGCTTCTATCCCGGTCTGTCCCCGGGCTCATGACAGGCCTTGCAGCCGGTGCGGATATCTGCAGCTGTTGATAGCTGTTGTACTCCGCGTCCGGTACTCTGCTTCCGGTACGGCAACCGTAGCGGACTGTGGCGAATATCGTCCGGAGCTCTTTACCGACCACAACCGTGGGAGCAGCCAAAAGGATAAGTCAAGCAGCATTTTCAGACATCGGACACAGGAAGCCGTCGAAAGACGCAGATGCATGGACAGGAAACAGAGCTGGGGTCAACGGAAAAGATGCCCAGTCTATAATAACTTCACGCATCCGCGGCATCAGTGAGCAGCCCCGGGACGACAAACCTGGGACATGACATCGCACGTAAGGAAACAACCCAAAAAGGGAGCGTTGGCAAAGTCGACTGACCCAACACCGGCACCCTGTGAGGGCAACCCGATAAACACTGATGCTCCCAGTCTGCCGTCCACTCGGCCAGCGAGCTCCACAAAGGGGAGCAGAGCTACTCGGAGCAGACGGACCTCACGGGCTAATTCAGCTGCTTCGAGGCTCGCGGGAAATTCGGAGGCAACCGCGTCAAGCTTGCCCGCCACCTGTAATCAGAGGTCCCAAAGCGAGCCCGCAGAGGACTCCAAGCAGGAAAGACTTTTCGGAGTTAAAGACCCGAATCCAGGTATGTGGGAGGTAAAGGGCAGATTTGATCGATTCCAGGTCCAGGTTCAGAGGATTTACTGAGCCGCTGTTCGGTGCCTGGAGCGCTTGCACGATGACAGCTAAGACGAGGCCAAACAAACTACCTATTGAGGCAGTGCTACAACCTCACGCATGCGCTGCACTCGAGCCCCGAAGCTTGATTGAGCCAAAACATGCGCACTCATCATGTGCTGGCATGCTCCTCGACGATCAGCGCACCTGATCCCAGGATGGCTCGGCAACCGGCTCTCCCGGCTGGGGTTCGGTGCCAAGCTCTTATTAGGACAAGTGCTGCCAGGCGTGAGCACGGCCCTGGCCACTCCAGATTGATGGGTCGGAACTCCGGAACCGGCAGTCCGCTTCGCGAGCGACCACGCCTTTCACACCAGCAGCAATCTCGGCCAAAGCTCGTTCCGGCCCATCAACCCGCCAGGCCAAGGAGTCCTCCAGCCGAAAACAAGACAAGGTGTCTGGAGCGGCGCCGCTGTGGTCGGGGGCAGCACACTGTTTGAGGGTCGGAGCAAAGCAGGAGGGGGTCCCTCCTTCACCGTGACCAGGTCCATCTAAAAAGCATCAGGTTGCAAGGGACTGCTTTCCAGAGCTGCCAGTCGAAATACCGATAATGTGTTAGCCACAACTAAGGCTCCTTGGATGCGTTGAAGGCAAAGAGTCAAAGAGTGCAAAAGAGATGAAGAAATGCGCGACGTTCGGGCCAAGCTTCCGTTTCCTAAGTGCGGACAGAGGGGGAGCGAGACCTACACAGCGTCGCAGTGGTTCACAACCCTCTGTTTTTCCGTTGGCGAAATCCACCCAGTGTGGTCGGGTAGCCGAGTCCGATGTTCGGACCGGACCGGACACGGCCTACCGAAGCCGGACCGGATGAGTTGGTGCGGCAAAACCGACAGGCATCAGGCAGCAGCAGACTTGATTCGGAGTCCGAAGCGAGCGTGTTACCACCGGATATCGGACGGAATGTCCGGACCAGAAGGTCCGATGCAGCCTGAGAGCATTTCGAAGCCTTCGAAAGGATCACAGGCAGGCCGGAAAGGACCAGAAAGGAAAAGGAAAAGGAACCGGAGCAACCGGAAAAGGCGGAAGCCGGGGTGGTGGCGAGCAAGTCAAAAGCTGTACCCCGGTGCTGAAACCCGAAACTACGTCCTGAGCCAGCAGCTGAGCGGACTGGTAGATGTTCCGTTGCGTGAGTGGGGACAGAGGGGGAGCTAGACGCAGTGGTGCACAACCCTCGCACAATCCTCTGTTGTTCCGTTGGCGAAATCCAGCCGGTGTGGCCGGGTAGCCGAGTCCGATGTTCGGACCGGAAGTCTGAGTCTAAGGACGGCAGATGAAGATCCGCCGGACACGGCCTACCGAAACCGGACCGGATGAAGTTGGTGTGGCCGGAAGTCCAAGAAATATCAAGCTGGCTTGACCGGACCGCGGACACAGGCACAAACACCAACTCAGGCCAACGCAGATAGGTAAGAAGACAGGTCAGCGGAGCCTGAAGCAACGTGGACCGGACTGTCGGAGAGGATGTCCGACCAAGGAACTTCACAGTGCTCATCCACCGGAAAGCTCAGGAGAGCCGGGGCGCAACTGCGACTCAGAGAGTCGGCGATCTCATTCTGTACACCGGGTACGTGTTCAATGGAGACAACTATATGCCCTATCATTCCTGCATACGTAGGAAACGACGCAGGACATGACAAAGCCCACGGGCGATAGACAAACCCTTCCACGAGGCAGCTTCTGCAGTAGAGTTGTCACACCGGAAGGAGACATGCACGGGAGGGTGACCGAGAGGAAGCAGGCGGTGGAGAAGGAACAGAAGAGCGCACTGCAAGCAGGCGGTGGAGAAGGAACAGAAGAGCGCACTGCGCAGGGAGCTCCCACGTACTAATGTGAGGCTGCAGCTACTCGGACGGATCCAACCAGGGCCGGACGAGAAAACTGGTGCTGGAAGTAAAGTCGGTCGCCACTAGGCAAGCGAATGTACCCCCCTAATCCAGATGCTGCTTCGGAGGCACATGCATCGGCGAAAGCCTGCACGCAAAAGGTAGGAGGCAAACGAAGGGAACGGAAGATGCTGCTCGGCGTAGCAGGATGCCTTGCTCATGATGGGGTCCATTCTCGGCACGATTTTTGGGGTCGGCTCCCTGCTCCGCGTGCATTTGGCATGACATTGGTCGTTCGACATTCGTGTTCCTCTCTGAAGCCACGTGTCTGCATCAATATTTCTCATCTCGCGGACTTAACAAGTATAGAAGAAGGCATGTAGACTCGGGAGAAAGGTAAAAAGCTACAGATATGTGCGTTGCTGTGACATGCAAGAACCTGCAAGAACTTGTGATGCAATGAATCGGATCATGCTGTTTACTACTCGACGCCTTGCCCTCTCCCATTTGCTCATCCTCCTGCTCTTCACCGGTTCCGGAACCAGCCTGTGGAGAAGTCTGCACAACTCTTGCGCTTCGACACAGGATCAGGTGAAGCCGAGGAACCCCTGCCGGATCGCCACCGCGATCAAACGACATCCGCCGAAACATTGCAGCGGAGTCAGCGGCCATCTGCTCCTACAAAACAGGAGCACCGCACTGCAATACGAAGTGCCTTGGTCCTTTGCCTGCATCCTCCGATGCTCAAGATCCGGATTGATGATCTGGTCCTGCATCGAGCAAGGCCTGGGCCTGAATCTGGCAACACTGCAGCAAACACGAAGATCCTGGTACGCAGGCATAGGTGCTCGGACTTCCTCCTCGCCGGCCTTATCATACTGCAAGAGTAGAGGAACCGCTATGCGAGGGTTGCTCAAGTGTTGTTCTAGGTGTCATGCCATGTGCGCATCTTGCAAAGGGCCTGCCAAAACGACTTCGACACAAACAGACGATGTCCAGCATCCGTTTCCAAATATGCATCTCTTGCATGGCATCGTTCAATTTGTGATCGTGATGGCTTCCCGTCTTTTGTCTAGATTCTAGTCTAGATCACACCACCCTCGCTTCTTCTGGAACCAGCCTTCAAAAAGTCTTGCGCTAAGCTGTCGCTTGACTAAGCTGGTTTTGAAGGATGCCCAGCTTCCAACTCACCCCAGCAAGCCCTCCATGTCCTTCCAAGACGAAGACCCGCCGCGTCTTCACACTTCTCAAATCCTTCCGCGTGCAGACGCGCGATGCCGCCCGCATCCGCCAGCACTTCGACTCCCAGCGGCAAATTTGGCTCCGGTTTGCGTCGCACAAAAATTCAGGTGCGGTCCCAAGCCGATCGGCAACTCACCAGGCCAAGCGGACGGAATGCAAGGCACTTTGTGCCCCGATTCACATGCAAGAGCCCGTGTCTCGCAAGAGGCTCGATTTTGCGGCCAAGGGCGTGCCTTTGAAGATTTTTTTGTGCTGAAATCTCCTTTGAACATAGGCATCTCTTTTGTCAAAGCTGAGCTCTGCCCCTCCCCGTCCACCGCCACCTTGGCGGCCTTGACCTTAGCCTTGCAGAGGCTACCTCGCGGACACTCTCACGACGCATGCCTGTATCTATACCAGCCGCAGCCGCGGCCGCTGCTACTTCAGCAGCCACGTCTGCATCGATAACCGGTTGATTTGCCTCAGAGCATCAAGGATGCACCAACAATGACGTCAATTCGAATCTTGGTGCAACACAGCAGGAGCTGCGGGAGCTGCAGGAGACGGAGAGGGCCCGAGTGCCTGCAAAAATCTCTGTGAGGTTAAGCCAGAGCTACAGCCGGAGCAGCCAAAGCATGCCGGGACTTCGGGGGACGAACTTCCTCCGCCCATCTCGAAGAACAAGCCTAGGGCCTTCAGGGCGAAACTCCAACTTGGCACCAATACACACAGGGGTCCCCACATGCTGAAGCACTCAAGAAACATTGACGGCAGCATGCCTGCTGCAAGTTTCCACCGGCCATCTCCAGATAACCTTTTGCCTCGACACTCTTATGCAACGTGTGGGCACCGTACTGGTGAGAATACCCGTTTAACAGCCTCGTCATCGCTTGCAGAAGTCAAGGATATGAACTCTGCAACAGACTCATCAGTTACCATCCTGCGCAGAATCCACTGGCAGATGTGGAAGCGGTCCGTAACCTCCAAATGCTGTTTCTGCCTCGCAGTCGCTCCCTCGCAGTCACACAGTTTTCCATGTCTTGCTTGAGCCAACGCTTCAGTGTTCCTTGAAGCGCACTTCAGCAATTCGAACCAGATCCCCGACAGTTCAACTGAAGATCGCTGGACAGCCATACGCCCTCCATGCGGCTTGACCCAGACAGGGCAAAGCAGACGATGAGTTGGCAGCAGCCTGATCGAGTTTTGGGTAACCTTGCCGGACAGACTTCTATACAGCGAGTTTGAAGAAGCTGAGCAGCCTGCATGATGACAGACTTATCTCGTGCACTCCTAGTCAAGCCGCTCCGCATAACGCAACAGCTAAAACTTCTTTCTCGTCCATCTCCCTGTCTTTTCCGACGTTTCTAGTGAATCTGTGACGAGGGGACCACAGATCTCCTGGCTGACTTGTGTGCCATGAGACCAGGACCAACACCCTTTCCAGACTTCTGTGTGCGCGAAAGGGGTGGCAAGATGTTCACGGTGAGTAAATTCACGGGTGCTGCAGAACTTAACAAAGAGTGGATTCAAGAGTTTGCTCCCATTGCGGGAATCTGGCAGCAGCCGAACAGTGACCGGTTAACCGACAAGGATTGTGGGACTGCTTCCGAGAGATGCACGAGGCAATCTCGCCACCAGACTGGCTTCCGTGTGGATAGGAGCAGGTAGTCTTGCCTACTACTTAGCATGAGAACCCGATCTACACAATCCATTAACCGCTAATCTTAAACGATGATTGTTTCATTTCGGACAGCAGAAGAAACATGAGCCAAGCACCGCCTTCCCAAGCTGGGGCATCTTTTCCGAATCAGCACGCACAGAAAGTTGATGCTGTCTTTCCCACGGCCAACATACTCTGCCACGATTTGTAGCAAAGTGGCCGTCACCCCACCATGCACCGCACTGCATTGCGGGTACTTGTCTCTGAGCAGAGCGAATAGCTGACGACCTGGAGAGCCATCTTCGACGTTACACGGGGAGCGCCTGTGCACTGCACCACTTTGCACGTTAGAGCAACGAACTTTTCTCATTCCTCACACGTACCAGATGCGGACCTTGGTGAGTCTGCGCACGATCTTCCTATTGTCCGTCTTGGAGTTTGGCTTCAACTACTGAGATCTCAGCCCTTTGGGTCATGATGGGGCAATCACCTCAGGGTTCGTCTGCAAGCACATGCTCTCCAGCATCCTGGAAAGTTTTTTAGCTGAGATGGCAACCATCCAGAAATGTCGTTTCGATAATCACGTTTCCAGACCTAGTATGCTGAACTGCACAACTTGTGTTGGATTCTCAGCTCTGGCTCCGACTGCGTGCGTTACACTGCCATCTCATTGTTCCGACTTCGTGTTGGTCACCCCGACGCTCTTTGAGGCTTGAAGGTCGATGGCTGGGCTTCGGCTTCCAGCTTTGGGCCGCAAGATTTGGACTTGAAAGCTTGGCCGGAGTTTCATTGCAAGCGAAGGTTTTTGCAGTCCCCACCGCTTCCCATGCACGGTTTCGGTCCCTTCAATCCGCATAGGGGCGTCACGGTCCACACTCAACCTCGGTTTGGAGCTGCTATTTTGGTTTCAACCTTGCAGGTCTAGGGCTGTGTGTTTGGAGCACCTCTCTGGCCAGAGGTGGCGCGCTGCATGATTCTGAGTTAAGCATCTGACAATAGTTCTGCCGGAAGCATCTCCTCCTCATCTGCAGCCTTGCCGGAGATCAGCAATATTAACGTCTGCGTGCAAAGATGCAGATAGATACCATGGACCTACGGCACATGAAGATGCTAGGCCTCTATGGTTTGCTGCCAGGTGTTCGTCGAATTGGGGATCACGAAACCAAAATGAAAGTTCCACTCCTTGCCAACTGCACACGTGCAATGCAACAAAGCAAAGCCTGACAGAATCCTCCAAGGGTTCGCCCTTGAAAATAACCTCGGTGTCGACTTTTACCGGACTCTAGGCCCTAGGCAAGCTTCAAAGCACTTCTCTTCAAGCACCTGGCCGACTGCACCAATCTCAAGCTTGTCAGAACCTCCACAGAGGAGAAGTTGAGCTCGCGGGACACCTGGCGTGCTGCCACATCGGCAGATCTTCATAAGATTGCACTTTGCTTCACAAGCCGCCTGTCTGCAACTCAGAATTTCTCGAGGAACTTGAGCCTCTGGGTAGCATGGTGTTAACCAGCAACATCAGCTGTAGCTGAGCTTCTCATGCCAATTATGTGAACTTCAACCCAAACGGCTTGGCATCTGAGTCGCATTCTGCTGAAAATATTTCTGACAATCAGGCAGGCGGTCCTCCAGTTCTTCCAAACCGCAATCCCACTCGCCGCTTTCCCACATAACTGCCAATGCCAAGGCCAGGACAACAAAAAACTGTGATGTGTTAGCACAATGACAGCCTTGTCCAGTAAGGGCATCACGCATGTTCATCCAGTTGATTCGAAATCCCTGCCACACGGACGGGATGGTCAAACCGCACCGGCAACAGTCGAAAGCTGCGCAGTAGCCTCTCGGATCGATTGCACCTGACTGCCTGGATTTTCATCATACGGACCAGCCAACACATGCAGAAGCACATGCAGTGTCAAAGAAGAATGCACACTTAAACACATATCTGCCCAATCTGTGGGCGCCGCTGTCATCCATGGCCTTGTAGTTTGAAACTACACGGGCTAAGCGAAAGGCGCCCCATGGGTTTTGAGAACGGATGGCTTGAAAAAAACATGCATAGAAACAAATGTTGCGACTGGAGGTTGGTGGTGCTTCTGAATTATTTGCATCCCTCTGCCAAAGCGTTTGCGCATCGAAACAGAAGTGCCCTCATCGAAAGTGCATGTAAAGTGCATGTCGACAATCGATCATTTCGCTCGGAACCTTTGCTTTCAGCATAAGCCATGCCTGAATCCTTGGATCCGATGAATCCTTGAAACTTTCCACCAAGCAAACTCGAACTCAACATGTCGGTCTAGTGTGAGTGGTAAGCCCCGCATCGCAGCCACGATCTACACATTGCCGGGGTGCAAACTCGGAACGTTTCTACGCATCGCTGCCAAACTCCGACCCAAGATACCCAAAACAGGATGTGCAACAAGTGCGTGACTGAGACATGCGAAAAGAGTTGAAGAACAAAAGATACCTGCTCCTGCAATTTGCACTCTCCTCCCTGTGGCCCTGTCCAGGTACCTGTCGACCAAGTTAACCTCATTGGAGTCACCCATTGTAAATGAGCGCGAAACCTGTAGTGGTATACATCTTAGCTCAGCATCTAGAGCACAAGCCGTGAACATCACGGAGCCTACGGGTCGCACGAGCTTCGGTGGCAATTCAATCTAATTATCTGATAACTGTGAGTTGGAGCCTGAAAAGTGCAGAAACTCTCTTAAGCTTCTGGCAGCGAACAGCAAAGCCACCCAGAGTCACTGTGGTTATTTGGAAATGCCGGGCAAAGGACCATATCCTACTCCTGAAGCAGCGGAATCTTGCTTTCAGTTCAAAAAAACAGTTACCAGTGAGAAGTTCCAGCTTTGTTTGAGACCATTGCCAGCGCAGCGAAGCCAGATAAGCACTGGCCATGTCGAAAACGACTGGGAACCGTCTTGTACTTTTCGAGGCAGGCAAAGCCATGACAGTCTTCAAACTCATGGTACACATTTAGAGGCGCTGTGCACTGATGACCACATTACACAACGCTGTTTCCAAGCAGTTGGCCACCTAGGTGCAGGGCCGGTTTTTGGAAAGTTAAAAGCGCTCGAATCGTTGCCACGGACAAGAAGCTCCATCTTTTTGGCAAAGATTTGTCCGCACGCAAAAGAAGAAGCTACATGTCTCTAAGAACGAAAGGAACTTCAAAGACTTCAAAGGCTTAAAGCTCCGACGAAGCCCCTTCGTCTTGCTTCGAAGCCTTTGAAGCCTTTCTTTCCCCTTAAATCCTTCGAAGCCCCTTGGTCTTCCCCTTCAAAGGGGCTTGAACCTTGGAAGAAGGGCGAGAGTCCGACTTTGCGGAAACTCTTGGCAAGCAAGGTATGCTGGACAAAGGCAAGACGCTATTTTTAAAAGATTTAGGCAGTGCACAAGAAAGGCAAGAAGAAAACACAAAAAAACGGTTGCACTGCTCTTGCACGGTCTGCACCGTATTGCGTTCTGTTGGACGCAGGCCGGAGAAAAAACTCTTGGAAGGAAAGCTACATAAAATCTGAAGTTTAAACAAGTTAAATACAAGCAAAAACACTTGTTTTTCCACATGCAAGAAAAAGAACATTCCCGCACAAGGAGAAAGCCACACGTGTCTGGCAAGAACTGATGGCATAGAACATGAACTTAAAGCTGTCAGGTGACTGTGATCGATGATTGCAGAAAGCCAAGACGAATTCAGGTCTTGATATCTGCTTGTTTTTATCGTTTAGAAGTTCAAACAAGTTTTAAGCTCAACTCTGAACCTTGTCCAACGGAGTCTTCAGATGGTTCAGAAAAATTACACAAAACACTAAACCTGACGTTTTTTCGAAAGAGAGCTTCCGCAGAAACCAAACCATCTTCACAATTCGAACACACAAATTTTCTGACAATCAAAATGGAGGGCATCAGTCCAGCTTCACGCAAGGCATTTTTGTGGCTTTCTCCTTTTGCACGGATGCTTTCGAAGTTTCCTGTCCTTTGCAACGCAACCGCTCGGCTTTGAGAGCGAGCACCTACCGGAACACAAAGTCAGGCATTCCCAGCGCCCTATTCGTAGAAAGACAAGCTCAGCCGCGCTTTTCTGGCTCTTAGTCATGTTGCCAGCCAAAGTCGTCTGAGACGATTGCATGTGGCTTCTTC